TCAAGGCTTGTTGAAATACCAACTCCTCTCGGAATCTCGGCTTTAAGGGAATTAGACCTGTTGACCTTCCAAGTCCCAACTCGGGGAATCTCATTCTAACCCTCCCGAGCCACCTCACACAGGCCACAGCGACTTTGCGTTTTCATTTCTCTTCTTATTTCTCTACATTTAGTTCTCCTTCTAAACTTACCCCCTTATAACCCCCACTCTCACCTTCTTTCAAATTACCATAAAGGCAGCCACCTCGGACTTGACTAGCAATATTTGGTCACGCTGCTGATGAAGAAGGAGCGAACGCTAAGCGATACGCTTACGATTCTCAAGGAGATAATTTCCCTTCCACTCACTAGCTCCGCAAATGCCGTGACTGCGAAATAACAACGCACTTCAAGGCCCACGTGCTCAGAGGGAGAAAAACTCTTTCCAGGTAAAGCTACTTCATTTTGGAGGAAACAACTCTCCGCCGACCCTGCTCTGCCCCGAACTCCTTCCCGTCTTCTCCTCACTCTGTAGCTTCAAAAGCCCTTCTCTAACTTTACCCGCTTCAAGCTACTGCCCTCTCTTTTTTCTCCACCATCATTTAAAAATGTTTTTGATATATAAAAGTAATATGTTGTTACTAAAGGAAACTTGAAAAGTATAGAAAAGTAATGCAAATCATAATTCCTTCGCACACAACCACCCGTTAATACTTTATTGTTTTCCAGCCTTTCTGTGCAGACTGCCCCCCCAAGTTATTTAGAAATATAAATAGATTCGGAATGCCAAAGGTACGGTGTCACCAAGAAAGGTAACTGGCTGGCTATCAAGAGGCCTGGCTGGATGGTATTACTTTGGTGCTTTCAACCTCAGTCAAGGCTGGGCCTGGAGTTATGCAGTCTCAGAAACTTAATCTGCTCAGGGTCCAAGAACTGATGAAACTCGGGAGGCTGACTCATGCTGATTACCACATAAGAGATTGATACATGTAAGTCAGGATGCTGGTTGATAGTGAGAAATAGAATTGTGGCAGTTGATATTAGCCTGACCACCACATTTCCTCCCTTTAGTAATATATGTCTCACTCCTTACCAAGTGCTATTTTATACAATAACCCTATGAAGTAAATACTATCAGTAACCTCAGTAATATATATCTCACTCCTTACCAACTGCTATTTTATACAATAACCCTATGAAGTAAATACTATCATTAACCCCATTTTAGAGATGGAAAAACTAAGGCACACGAGGGTCAAGTCACTAAAAAGTCTGCTTTGTCCATGTTGGCTTCACTGACTCTCCTTTTGCTATACTTCCATGACTCCCTGACACATTCTTTCTTTAGAAATGCTAAAATTATAAACAAAGTCATATGCAAATTTTGCCAATCACTCTAGAAGCCATTCAGTTTCTCGAAGGTAATTTTTCAGTTTGATTCACCATACATTTATTTTTTAGTTTAACTCTTGAATAAACTTTTATTTCCAAGTTCCTGGGAACATTTTCTTATTGCCCCCTTATATTACTTGGAAGTTTTAATTACTCATTTTCAAAAATCCAAAAATTTTTAAACTTCATATTTTGTAGATATTTTCCATGGTTTTACATTTTATGCTAATGTCTGCATCAATCATTTCTCTACTACATGTCCCATAGTTTGCTTAGCTATTCTCTTACTATTAATTAACACAGTAGTCCTCTCTTATCCACAGAGAATACATTGCAACACCCCCAGTGGATTCGTGAAACCATGGATAGTACTGAATTCTGTTTTGCTGTTTTTTTCTGTACATACATACTTGTGATAAATTTAATTTATAAATCAGGCACAGTAAGGTCTTAACAAGAGTAATTACTAATCAAATAGAACAAATGTAACCATATACTGTGATAAAAGTTATGTGCATAGCTTTGAGGCCATTTTGAAGTAAAACAATACCATGGCAGTCAATCTGATAACCAAGATGGCTACTAAGTGACTAACAGATGGGTAGCATGGATACACCAGACAAAGGGATGACTCAAGACCTGGGTAGGACAAAGTGGGAATGTCTGAGATTTCATCACCCTAATCAGAATGGCACACAATTTAAAACTTATGAATTGCTTATTTCTGGAATTTTCCATCTAATATTTTTGGAACATGGTTGACCATGGGAAAGTTAAAAAACCCAGCAAAAGAAACCGCAGATAAGGGGGACTGCTGTAATAAACCTTTTATTATTAAATTTCTTGGGAAAAAAATAGTCCCTACATTATCTCCTTTCCATTATTTCCCATTCAATCTCTTTAAATTGTTTTCTATAAATTATGTCATATATGAACACATTCTTCATGAAAAAGGTTAAAATGCTACCGATAAGATTAAAGTTACCTATGTCTATCACCCATAATCAGTCTCCTTTATCTCCCTTTCCAAAAGTAACCTCCGTTATAGGATTGATTTGTATCCTTCTAGATTTCCCCCCAAATTTACATATATATGTAGAAAGGCATATAAAATATTATTTTCTGCATATTATTTTAATATAAACAATATTATGCTGTTGTGCAGATTGCCTCATTCATCCAAAATTATGTCATGGAGATCTAGTCATGTTATTACACACAGATCTACCTCATATGCCATGCTTTATGTAGGTATTCCTCTATTAATGAGCATTTAGTTTCTTTCCAGGTTAGAACTCTTAAAAATAGTTCTTCAGTGAATATATATATGTTTCGTGAATGCGCTTTGGAAATAGGCACTTTAATTTTTGATATAACTATTTAAATGATAAAGCCATATAATCTGCGCCAACCAGTAGTGCATGAAAGTCCTCATTCCCCCCACCCTTACCAATACTTGATATTATGAAACTTTAATTCTGAGGAAAACTGCGCTACTCCAGCCAAACACCATAGGGAATGTAGGACTGTTATGTCTCCCGGTCTTAGCAGAGTGGCCTTATGTAGTAGGTGTTCTGTGGGGCTGAGTGGTGCAGTCTCCCTGGTCACTTGAGCTGGGTGCTACAGGTGTGTCCCTTGTGTGGGTTGTGTCTGCTCTCCTGTTGTTCCGCCTTGGTTGCTGCTTGCACGTCAGTGGGTGGGATTGACCCTCAGGTTGATTGGTTGTGAGGACTGGCCATGACTACAGTGGAGAAGCTGTTGTGCAGGGGCTGAGCCTACAAAGCAGGACTCACTTTAGCAGGGCTCTGGTGCCTGCCCATTCTGCCCTTTGGGTGTGTCATTTGTGGAAGTGGTCGGGTGGTGCTCTGGTGTGGTCTGAGGCTGGCCACTGGGTGTATTGGTTCAGGAGCCTCTTAGGAGAGGGTCTGGTGCAGGCCACAGTCAGCGGCTGCCTGTACCCTGCCTGGGTCACATGGTATGAGCTACAGCGTGATCTGCAGATAGTAGCCACCTGTGCTGGGCTTGGATACACCTGGGAGAGGCTAAGCGGCAAACTGAGGCAGCCGCCGCTAGTGCCGGGCTTGGGGTTATTCAGCAAGAGGTATGGGGCACGCTGAGGCCAGATGCTGTTTGTTCGGGGTTTGTGGACATTTGAGAGATTTTTAGGAAAGTCCACAGCATGATCCAAGACAGGCTGTTTGTAGAGAAAAGCCACCAGAGGCGGCTTGAGTGGGACCACAAGTTGGGTGGGGCAGGGTCTCAGAAAATCACCAGGACAAAGCGAATGGAGTCAGCTAGGTTCATGGAGACTCAGATATGGCGCCTGCCTGCATCTGTACACTGGGCAGGGCAACAAGGGCTCAACAAAGGAACAGTGGCTCCTGCCAGCACTTTTGTCTAGAGAAAGCCGCCCCTCCAGCCCTTGCCCTGAAGCCAGACAACTCAGTCCCTCCCTCTGTGTCCCTGGCGCCTTTCAAGCAGCTGTCCCAGCACTGGAGCTCAGAGTGAGCGAGTCCTTCAGCAG